TGTATGTTGAGGACTACTTGGATTTAATGAGATATTGGATGGAGTTTAACTGTTGCTCCATCCATAATTAATTGGAGAGAGACACATTTTAACAACAAAGCAACTATTAAGCGGGAAGTTAAATATTTAGTATACTCACACAAACAAATGCTTATGAAATCTATGTTCCAGACCCACATTTTACACATTGCACCAGCGAGCGTGGGCCAATTGTAACAATTTTCAGGCTAATTGAGTGACAAATTGAAGCAGAAGCAAATAAAACCGTAACAACGAAACTCCTGTTATTTTGTACAGATGGGGCTTAAGTCAGTTGCGCTGTCATTTGTCTGTTACGGCTGCTCTCTTGTGAGGCTACAATTAAAGGGATCACTTTTGACGCCCATTTCCGCTGTGAACCGAGAAAAAGGGCAATAGCCTGGCACTATTCAGGTGTTTTAAAGCAGCGGTCGCCAACTGGTGGTCCGCGAACCACTGGTGGTCCGCGAGAAAATTTTGGTGGTCTGCAGAAAAATTATTTGCATTTCTTATATCGCACTAAATCAGGGGTCCTCAAACTACAGCCCCTGGGTGTCAGACTTCGATGCTCTCTCAAAATAAATGAATTTCCAAACTGCCAATCTTTAAGGAAATCTTTTCTTTAATTGAGCACAGCCACCGGATCATGACTCGATGCGGACAAGACTGAACTTTTGCCCCCCAATCCCTCCCTTTCTGATCCCCAATTCTCTGCTTCTCATTGGCTATCTTCCAAGTCATTCTCCAGACTTCTTGTCACGTCATTTCCCAGGAATGTCTCCCCCTCCTTATTTCCACGACAACCCGACTTCAAAGGGATTTAGCAGGCAAAAGTTCACAAATTATCTCTCTCCTCTCTATGCCAGCGCTGAGGCGCTGACACTGGGACAGATATGTGCAATGAACGTTTGTGTTGCTGCAGAGTCTCCCCATTTGGGGTCTTTTTGTGTGGGTCGGAGGGGGGCAGAAATTCCGACTTGGGGTCTGCTTCAGCCTCCTGGTGAGGGGCTTTGGGTGAAGGCTGGAGGGAAGAGCCGCTGGTGGCAAAGAGCCGGAGGGCCTTGTTCCAGTGGGACTGCATCATGGCCTGGAACTGGCTGACCATCTCAGCCCGCTGAGCCTCCAGGTGCCGGTACCTGGCCTTGCACTCTCTCAGAGGTCTTTCCTCTGTTTGGAAAGCTTATGCTCGTAGTCCTCAGTGAGGTGCTTCTGCTAAGCCTTCCTCTCGGCCAGATCCAATTTGAACTGTGCCAGTTGTTTTGCCAACTCTTTCTCGTGGTGGCTGCTGAGCTCCAATAACTGCTCCCTGTTGGGGCCCTAAGGAGCCTGGGAAGGGGAGGAGTGGCTGGGAGGGAAGGGGCGAGTAGAGGCTGGCAAGGCGCCCCTCCATGTGAGTGACGTCGAGTTGGCCATGCCCACCCAGTCACATGACCACCTAGCCATATCCACCCAGCCAGTCATTAGGCAGATCATATTAGTAGTCCGTAGGATTTAAAATTATGAATTTAGTGGTCCCTGAGATCTGAAAGGTTGGTGACTCCCGTTTTAAAGAATTGTTGGAAGAAACATCCATCTGGTTCAGTTCCAAGTGGGGAGAAAGACACTGGAAACATGGAGGCTGGTTGGAAAGATGGTTTAATGGTGAAGCAGAACCACCAAGCATGTGGGATTCTGGGCAGCTGACCACATGGAGTGAGTGGGGCAGTAGTGGGTTCCACTTACCTTCGCTACAGGTTTGTAATCGGGAGTGTGCATGCGCGTTACACTTCTGCACATGTGCAGAGTTCATGAAGACATCCGGGCAGATGGGCAGAGTCTCCCACCACTGCCACTAGTGGTTCTCCCGAACCGGGGCGAACTGGTAGAAACCCACCACTGGAATGGAGAATGAAGGTTATTTAAACCCCCTCTCTGGGCTTTGAACTTGAGCTTCCTGTTCCTGTGGCAAGAGCATGTATTCTATTGTTTGCTGTCAGACTCCCATAGGACTATGCGAGGGTCATAGCCAAGTTTGTCTGAGCTCCCAGGTTTGATTGAAACTTGGAGGGTGATGATGTAACCAAGAGCCTTGTGTTTTGTGGGCAATTCCTATTGTGTTTTAATGTCTTTGTCCCGGTTTGGATCTTGAGTGAGGGCTAATCCCATCATTCTGAGGCTGAAGGTCTTTTGTCTTGTAGCTAAGCTGGCCCAGTCCTGCTGGGGCTTTTAAGACAGGTGGAGGCTGCTTTCCAATGAGCATGTTTTCCTTTAGGGGAAATATAATATTCTGCCTTTTTAATATTTCTCAAAATATTTCATTCTTCCAGGAGAGGGGTGGGTGCTAACTCTCTACAGAATAAAGCTGTTTCCGACAAAAGCTGTTTTTGACCAATGCAACAGAGCGAATTTTACAAGTTCCAAAATGTCATTTGAAACCATGACCAGATGTTTCTCCTCCTCCTAAAACCCACAGAGGCTCAAAATCTCTCTTCAGTTTCGTAACTCAAGAACTGCCTGCTTTTATTTGGAGAACTATTTCCAGACAAGGAACTAGAGTTGAAACAAAAGTTGGAGTGGATTAACTTTGCCCAGGTGAAACTTAGTCACGGGAAACAATTTGATCTAAGCTACTGAGAGAGTCCTAAGAAGAGGCAGTACCTGGTAAGCTTTTTTATTTGGGGAGGATGGGGAGGATGGGTCCTGCTGAGTAACCTGGTTTGAAAACCACCAGAGAACATCACGGTGGCAGAAAGCTTAGGCTGGGAAGATGAAAGGAACAGCAAGGCAGCAAGCAATCTCAAAACCATCTCCTGCAATTCTGGACTTCATGCTTGGAACAGAAAAAATATATATGAAAATTTGATCTTAGATTTTGAGGATTATACTAAGGTTGTTCCTGTAGAAGTGGTTTGTATCTATCAGAAATGTATATCAAAAAGTTGAGGCTGTGACTCTACTTCAATCAGAACAGAGTTGGAAGGGACTTCGGAGGTCTTCTAGTCCAACCCTCTGAAGGCAAGTTGTTCCACTGGCTAATTTTTCTGTTAGGAAGTTTCTCCTTAATTCCAGGTTGCTTTTCTCCTTCCTATATTTTGTATACGGTGTTTCCCCGAAAATAAGACCCTGTCTTATATTTCTTTGAACCCTGAAATAAGTGCTTGGCCTTATTGCCAGGCGCTCAAAAGCCCGATTGGGCTTATTATCCTATGTCCTATTTTGGGAGAAACAGAGTACTTCGTATACTACTTTGCATACTTTTTTTGTATATTTTTGTATACTACTGTATCAAAAAAAAGATGGAAGTCACTGGGTTTTTAAAAATTATTTTACCTTACTTTTCTTTATCTTTCCCTCTCCAATTTGTATTTTCATTTGTGTTTTATAGTACAATAAACTTTAACTTTAAAAAAACAAACCTTTCCTGCATAGTGTCCAGTTTTTAGTCCTTTAGAGCTCTCCCTTTTTAACCAAAAAAAGGCAGCTGAATTGCATTTAATTGGCAGTTTTTAAAATATTAAAAATAGGAAGCCCTTCGCTCTGTTTCCTTTTGGGGGGGAGGACCAGGGAAAAGATGTCCCCTCCCCTCAATGCGTTTTTGATTTTTCCACTGAAAAAATTCTGATCTGTTGCAAAGGCTCCACCATGTGGTCAGATGTTTAAAATTTCAGCTCAGCTTCATAAGAAGATGTTCCTTGAATCCCATCTTCTCCCTGCTTTGTGGGAGATAAGACTGAAAAACTGGCCCAAAAAGGATCTGCCTGTAAGCTTATTCCTACTCAATAGCTAGTCCTTGACTTATGACCACAATGGAACCCAAAATTTCTGTTGTAAGTGAGACAGCTGTGAAGTGAATTTTTGTCTCATTTTACGGCCTTGCTTGCCATCGTTGTTCAGTGAATCACTGCAGTTGTTAAGTTAGTAACACAGTTATTAAGTGGCTTCCCCAATGACTTTGCTCATCAGAAGGTTGGGTCGCTCGTGTCATAAATACAAGTCTGTTGCCAAGCATCTGAATTTTAATCATGGGAATATGGGAATGCAACTGGGGATTTTCCACTGTAGTTGGAACTTTGAATGTTTACTAAATGAACTATGGTAAATCGAGGATGACCTACATAATAAAGTCGTAAGAGTTATAAGCATGACGTCTTGGGGATAAAACTTGTGATCTGTGGTTAGATTAAAAGGGGAGCAATGCGCGGATTAGGCCATCGGTCATCTAAAGCCGATGACATCAGATGATCAGCTGATGACATCAGATGATCAGCCGATCATCTAAGTTCGATGACATGGTGCACAACCAGGACAAGCAACAAGTGTACTCAGCCTCTTCAACTGTTGTTTCAATCCATGACTGGCCCCTTAAAGAAGGTCAAAACTAATTAACATGTCCGCCAAATGTTGGAAATGCAATCAGACACCGGGCACATATTATCACATGTGGTGGACGTGTGCAAAGAAGCATTTTTTTTAGTGAAACAAAACCTAGTTGCTCTCCTATTTTAGAGACAAGAAATGAGGATTTTCTTCCTGTCAAGTGTAATCTCCCCTGAAGGCCCAGAGGGTGTTTTAAATCTCAAGCAAATTCCTCTGCTCTTCAGTGGTGGTATAATAATGTCTCTCTCTCTCTTTCTCTCTCTTCCACTTCTCTGATCTTAGGTTTACTTTATTTATTTATTTAGTGATTGGATTTATTTACTGTCTTTCCTTCAATTCTTCACCTTCTTCCATGCTTCCTGCCCCTGCAAAAAAACCTGTGAGGTAGGTTGGGTTAAAAAAAAGAAAAGGAAAATCCAGTCACCCAGTAACTTTCCATGGCTGAGAATGGAGAAGCCAGACCAGCATTTAACCAGCATCTTAATTACCACACCATATACCATTTCTTCTTTACAAGTAGTTAGTCTTATATGTCCTTTTTTTTTTTTTTTACTTTACAGTCCAGAAACTATTAAATGAAGGCAGCTCTCTCCTACAACTGTATGGCTTATAAATCCAAGCAGAGGAAGTATCCTATTTTTTATTTTGTGCCTGTCATCAAATCCTTACAACTTGCAGAAATGCATCTTGAGTCATATAAGGTACGAAGCTATAAAATCAGGATTTTTAAGCCCCAGTGAACAGATTCATCCCAAGGTCAGCCCAAAACCAAAATAAGTAACTCTTATTAACTTATTAACACTTAGTAACTCTTCCAAAATAAACATTGATTTATTTCAAAATAGTCCTGTGCAAATTCTGCAGAATTAAGAGTTTGCACACAATGGTTCTAAAAACAAAAAACAATTACGATGGATTTGGCTTTAATTCCTGAAACAAACCATGTGATGTTTATTAATAAAACAACTCCAAAATCGAACTCCCAAAATCAAATTGTTACGACTTTTAAAACAAATTGGGAACCCACTCACCATTTAATTTTTCTACACTTGTGCCAATAGAGTTCAATAATTTTTTCATTTTTTTTTTTTGGGTTAAATGTGTATATTTTAAGAAATATAATGAATTGGTAAATATAATAGCCAGCAGGCTCTGCAATGATACAGTGAGAGGTTTGGAAGGAGAAATTTATGCCAAAGCTCTCCCAAATTTCGGTTACAATCCATAAAGCTTCAGCTATGCGTGACAAGGCACCGCATTTTGCTAAAAATTCCTTACAGAACATTATGCACACTCGATAATGAGAGGTACAAGTTCCTAGATCAGTTTCTCTCAACCTCAAAGAACTTTAAGATGTGTACACTTCAACTCCCAGAATTCCCAAGTCAGCACAAGGAATTCTGGGAGCTGAAGTCTTCACGGCTTAAAGCTAAGAAACACCAATCTGGAGACCCTGTAAGTAATTCTGGCTGGAAGGTGACTCCATTTAGTTGATTTGCTGTAGCTGTGGAAGCTAAGCAGGATCAGGCGCGTCACTTGAAATGGGAACGCCAAAGGAAATCTTAGCCTCGTAGACTAGGTGGAAAAATTGAAAAATAATATCCCGAACGCAGGCAGCTGCAATATCACACCAAAGAGCAGAATTTGACTGGACAAACAAACTCGGATGGGTGAGGCTTGTTAGATGTAGCTGAGATGCTGGTTTTACGGTTATTAATGTTTTTTTCCCCATTCCATTCAATCGAGTCTGATTCTTTAGAAACTGCCTGGACAAGTCCCACAAGTTTCCTTGGCAAGTGGTTTGCGCTATTGCCTCCTTCTTAGGGTTAAGAGAAACTGACTGGCCCAAGATATCCAGTGGCTTTGTGCCAAAGGCAGGACTAGAACTTCCAGTCCCTAGCTGAATGCCTTAACCCCTACACTAGGGGTGTCCAACCATAGCAACTTTAAGACCTGTGGACTTCAACTCCCAAAATTGAAGTCTACAGATCTTAAAGGTTGGATCCCTCTGCACTACATCAAACTGCCCGTTTTATTAAAATCTATCCACAGAAAAAAAATTGTTTTAATTATTTTATCACCAGAAAACATCAGAACCGATACACTAAATAAATCTACTATACAATATACACGTATATAAATAGATATACCATCTTCACTTTTTAAAATTTGCAAACACTGATTTCGGGCACTTAATAACTACACTTCATAACCTTTGATCTTTTAAAAACATTATTAAAGAGAAGACAATTCTCTTTGTGGGGAAGGGGTATGAAACGATATCCTACATACAGTAAAAAAACCAATCAGGATTTTTTTTTTTCACATTATCTCCTGAATTATTTTCATTTTTTATCAGAGTAAATCATTTTAACTCTGACAAAGGTTTGTTTGTCGGAGGGGATGATTTTAGTGTTTGAAGTAATATATGTTGAAGAGGAGAAAAGTCAAGGCAATGATTTAACAGGGGTGTCAAACTTGCAGATCAGATGCGTCACGTGCCAGCCACGCCTACCCCAGCTCCACAAAGGGGCATAAGTGTCGCGATACATCACGTGACGGCAATGTGATGCCGCTGGTTTAACACCCATGATTTAGAATACCCTTCTTCCATCTGTTTCTGTGTTGGACTCCAACTCCCATAATGACTAGCCAGCAGCGCTATTTAGTGCAGGAGTGAGCAACTGTGGCCCTTTTACAACCTGTGGACTTCAACTCCCAGAATTCCTGAGACAGCCAAGCTGGCTCAGGAATTCTGGGAGTTGAAGTCCACAGATCATAAAGGGGCCATATTTTCCCACCCCTGATTTAGTGCATCCAAGTAATGTGGTTTTTTAAGAGAAGCCTCACTGAAATAAATTTAGATTGGTAGATGGAACCTTGTGAGCAAAGCAATAGCACATATAAAGTACAGCTCTAAAAAAAAGAAAAAAAGTACAATAATGGAAGATTCCAAAAGGCATCTACCTCCACAAAGGTAACTCAAGTCTACAGCAGAGGTATCCAATCTTGGCAGCAGGTAACTCAAGTTGGATGACCCAGATCTATAGTATGATTAAAATCATAATCATATTCCTGTTGCTAAAAACCTCCCCACAGATGTTTGAAATTTACTGGTTACGAAATGAATTAGAAACACACATAAATGCAGATTCCTTTGCAAAACAGAGGCTTTGAAGGAGTAATAAGCTACGTTCCTGTGCTTTATTCCTGCCTTGCTTCAGATTAACATATTTTATTTTATTTATCATGCTTAGCATGACAGCTCTCCTTATCTCACAGGTCATTCAACGGAACCTTGATATTCTAGACCACTGTTTCTCAATCTTGTCAACAGTATGCTGGCTGGGGAATTTTAGGAGTTGAAGTCCACACATCTTAAATTTGGCAACGTTGGGAAAAGTTGGTCTAAACCTTGGACTTTCCGTGTTCTGATGCAACTTGGCGTCCTTTGGATGTTGATGTTCTGACATACATCACATCATTTTGTAATTGCTGTGAAGGTGTCCTTCAGAAATTCCTCCCGCCTATTACTCTGTTAAGACAAGACTAAAGTGCATTGTAATATGTATTTTAGGAGTGTAATTACACAATGGAAACAATGAAGGACTCCATTTGTCTGCACCAAACCCAAACCCTTATTCAACATACTAGTGTTAAACAGTAGACATTCATAACTGACTGCACAGCAACAACTTACAAGGTGTGGCTGAAAGTTGCCCTCGAACATCTGCCGAGGATGGACTTCAGAGCTGGACTGACCGCTTCCTGATTCATTCTAATGGCAACAGGGAAATTCATGGATGCTTTCTCCTGTTCAACATCCCAGAGACTGCTCTGTTGTGAATCCACATCTTCTTTCTGTCTTCTCATCCTGGAATGTTAGGTTCCAAATATCTCCATTTTGAAAGCTAATGGATGGAGAAAGGGTTGACACTTTCATCCTACACACTTCATAAGGCATAGAGGTTCCATATCCTTCCAGTTGGGAGGGATTGCTATTTATTTTTCGTTTCATGGCCTCCTGGTAGTTTCTTATTCTCGTGGCCGTTTGCCAGCTTCTTCAAATATGCATGGGGCCCCTGACCTTCAAAAGAAGAGGGGTTTTTGTAGGAGCCCCCGATTCTATCCCAGAGGGTGAAGTATTGGCCGTAATTGTAATCGAAGTACAAGTGATGGTCCGTGTGATGGGCAGCTCCGTTGATGATGGGTTTCAGCAGATTGGGAATGCGACAGTCTCCGTCGTGAATGGAGACTGACCAGATGTTGACGAAGACATAGAGGCCCAAATAGGTCACTTTGTGAAGAGGAAAAAGGAACGGGTAGACGTGATAAGGGACGCTCTGAAGGAAACCGTCCACGGGGTGAAAAGCATGGCTGGCAAACGGAGTCGTGACCTTCCACGTGTGATGGGGCTTGTGGAAACGCTGTGGAAGAGAGAAAAGAATCAGATCGTTACAAACAGATCATAACATTTTCACTTTATTTTGCTGAGGTCTCCACCGGCTACAAAAATAGCCCACAGGGGATCCTCAATTTATGACCACTAGAATTTCCACTGCTAAAGAAGGTATTTGTTAAGGGAGCCGTGCCTGATTTTACTACAGTTTTTGCCATAGTTAAGCAAATCACCGCAACCCTCAGAAGGACAGGCCAGTTCCCAAGCGCTTGAATTTTGATTACGTCACTTGGGGAATGCTGGGATTGTCCTAAGCATGAGGACCAGTTGCAAGTCACTTTTTTCAGTGCCATTGTAACTGCAAATGGTCGCTAAGCAAATGGTAAGGCGAGGACTACCTGTTTTGGACAATCCTCAATCGATTTGCAATGTGTTCTGACCCAGCTCCCCAAACACGACAAACCCTCTGAAGTGAACTCAAAAGATGCCTTTATTAGGAATGTCGGCAGCCCCGACAAAAAGTTTCTCTTTCAGTGCTGGCTAACAAGTCCATCTGGGCAGAAGATGAATAGTTGTCTGCCACACATATTTATCTCTGCCCCCTGCCTTTTATCCCCAGAGCTTGGTTGGGGCCTGGGTAGCAGCGGTGGCTCTTCCTTCCCAAAGACCGGCCCATAGATTTCCACTGCTCTCCTCTTCTCTGCCTTCTGTGCATCCACGTGTCAGGCACTGGACCCATCTGTTCCTCTTCTTCCTCATCAGCCATCTCCAGACCTGAGGGCTGTTGACTCTCCGAGGACTAATGGATGGCCCAAGCTCCGCCTCTGTCTCTCTCTCTCTCTCTGCCAGTTTCGTTCCCTCTTTCCCCTCAGAGCTCTCAGGTTGCCTTGATGCTGGCTGCAACTCCCATGCCTCTTCTGACTTGGTTGATGGAGGGGCCGGCGGCCAACAGGCCACAACACGATGTAGATCGTGAATTTTACCAATGTTATTCCACCTTCACGTATAAGGACAGAACGAACTTCAGTACCATGGAAGAAACCATGTTGGGAAGCAAAATGTTCCGCAACAAAGTAACCCACATTCAAAGACTAGAAAAGCTGGTCTCAATCTGCTAAACCTGCATTTCTCAATGGGTTCAGCAGGCAAGTTGAGACAAGTTGCTACGGTTGAGAAATGTTGTACTAAACCACTGGAATGTTCCCTAGGAACATTCATCCAGACACGAGTCCTCTTCTGCTTGGTCTTGCCAGTATCGACCAGCACACTGCTTCAATCATGCACCTTCCAGGTGACGCCCTCTTCTTCCAGAAACAGTCTTGCTGGGACATTATTGACCTTACCTTATATAAGATCTTGTGGTGGAGAAACCGATGAATCCAGTAAATGCACATATCGGTGAAGAACAGAAATGAAAACATGCTGAACACCACGCCAAACCATCCTAGATAAGGAGGGAAGAAAATTAGGGACTGGCAGAATTCCAGTCGATTCAACTTATGAGAACAAAGACATTTGTCAATGTTTATATTTGTTATCTATTTTAGTATCCTGTTTCCCCGAAAATAAGACATCCCCTGATAATAAGCCCAATCGGGCATTTGAGCGCATGCGCTAAAATAAGCCTCCCCCCCAAAAAATATTTAAACGCAGAGTTGGAAATCAGATAAGACGGCAAGAGGAGCCCCATCTTGCTCCACGCGCCCCAAAATATTAAGACCTCCCCGAAAATAAGGCCAAGCGCTTCTTTTGGGGTTCAAAAAAAAAATAAGACAGGGTCTTATTTTTGGGGAAACACGGTAATTGTTAGCCATGTACCAAATCCAAGAACTGGACAATCAAAGAGCAACTCTGGGAGGAATGGGAGATTTTCAGGTGGGTGGACATGGCCTGAACTTGTGAACCTATTTCTTCTTCCTTTCCCACCGGATCCTTTTTAATAGGAGGAAAATAAGCTAGATCAATGACAGAATTTGCATAGCTGTCCTGGGAACTATTTTGGGACAGATTTTGGCAGTAAAGAGGCAATGGTGGGGGACTGGGGGGTGGGGTGGGGGGAGAAGGTTTCCTTAAGGCTGCTTCCTTCTCTTGTAGATCAATGTTTCTCAAACTAGGCAACTTTAAAACATGTAGATTTCAACTTCCAGAAATCCCCTATGCTATCCAGAAAGCATAGATTTCTGGGAGTTGAAGTCCACATGTCTTAAAATTGTCCAGTTTGAGAAACACCATTGTAGATCTTGTAGGTGGTGAGCCACGTTGATCTACAGGGGCAAAAAAAAAAAAAAAAAAAAATCAGGAATTTTCTGTCTAATCTATTTGATTCAAAGGCACCAGCTTTTGTCAGTTGTCTTTTTCATGCTCTGAGGAAGGTTTTGTTTTGTTTTGTTTTGTTTTTAATTTGATTTATATGCCGCCCTTCTCCGGAGACTCAGGGCGGCTTACAATGTGCTAAGCAATAAGTTGAGCTGCATCTCAGGAAAGCTGATGCCTTTGAATCTAATCTGTTAATTGGAAAGTGGGCTGCCAGACATCCTCTTCCTCCTGTGAAAAGAGAGAGCAGAGCTGTGCTACGTTCTGTGTTTCTCAGGAGACTTAAGAGAATTTTGAACAACACATTTGAAAAGAACATGCAGCTGTCAGCTAAGCAGTCAACAGCTTGAATGGTAACACTTTTCCATTCAAAGGCATCTGCACAGATACATGGGATGTTGAATTGCTGGATCAGTTAAAGGTTTGCTGCCAGAGTCCCCTAATTAATGATGCAAACTTCACAGGTCTGCATCAACCATCACTTCCTTATGAACCTGATTTAAAAGACTAGACAGATAATTCATGGACAAGTGCAGATAAGTAAACGTAGGCTACTAACAAATTTAATAACACTGTGATTAAATCATAATTATAGTTTTTCTTTCATGCTACTTAGTATTTTACATTCCAAAGCTTTCAATTTCCAACCCTAAAAGTTACCATAAAGTAGCAGTCATAATTTAAAACATCTTTCCCTCAACCAATGCACTCCAGAAAGTGGCAGTTAAATTGCACCAAAGATGTCCACTCCTAAACTATTTTACTTTGCATAATGGGGATTATGCAAGATATATGTCGGGATTACAATGTTTCTGGCAGAATGTAGAGTTTTAAGTGTGGAGATAAAAAGGGACAGAGAAAAGCAGTACGGAGGTCAGTTCTGGAGCGATTGCCCAACAGGGGTGCTTACCGTAGGGAGAATCCCCAATGTTACTGTAGAGTTTGCTGTAGCCTCTGACCTCAGCAAAGAAGATGACCACGGTGGGAATGCTCATCAATGGCACAGACGAGACTGCATGCTTTATTTCCCGCTGCACTTGATTCTGAACACAAAAGCAGGCAATGAGTCAAAAGGCCTTTTAAAACCACTCAGTCCTAACCTTGGCAACTTTTTAAGACTTGTGGACGTCAACCCCAGTCAGCATGTCTGGTTGGGGAATACTGGGAGCTGAAGTCCACAGGTCTTGAAAGTTGCCAAGGTTGGGAAGCCCTGGTATAGACTTCACACTCCCCACCAAAATTCTGAGAAAAGGGCTTCCCTAAAGCAATTGGATAAAACTCTTATCCAATTTAGAGAGTCCAATGAGTGGAGCTCCAGAGGAAAACAAGTGTCGAAGGCTCGGACTGAGTAAGGAACTGGGCTAAACCGGAAGAGGAGATATGTTTAGTCAAATTTCTTACTCAGTCAGAGGCCAATCAGATGAGGAATATCCCCCCTCAATGGACTCTCTAAACAGCGCAAGGGAGAATGGATGAATCCGCAGCAGAGTTCTGCTTTATTGTTCACTATGCTACATTACCTGACAATTCTATGCATCGTATGAATCCTCCTCCTCTCCAATACATCAAAATAAGGGGAAGGGGGGGGGGAGAGAAAGGCAGTCAAAATTCCAGCTGAAAGAACTCCTCAATAAAAATGAGGGTAACTAAATCAGGAAAGAAAAGATGAAATGTGCCCAGCCACCCAAAGTACCATATAGAGCAGTGATGGCTAACCTTTTTGCCATCACGTGCCAGGAAGGGGGGGGGGGCAGGGGGGTCGCGCGCTTGCGTGCTCATACCCATAATTCTATGCGACCCACCCACCCCCTGCTCACCCCACTCCTGGCACACAATGGCCTAGTAGGCCCGTTTTTCTTTCTCACCTGGCTCCAGGACCTCTCTAGGCGTCTGGGGAGGGCAAAAACAGCCTTCCCCACCCCTTCGGAGGCAAAAATGGCCCATTTGACAACTTCCAGTCTCACCGGAAGCTGAGCTTGTATGCCCACTGATATGGTTACGCGTGCCAGCTGTGGCACGTGTGCCATAGGTTCGCCATCACGGATATAGAGCTAGCAAGGAGAAAAACTCCACCCCCCCACCCCCACCCATTTCATGAGGTGTTCATTCTGCTTTATGGCACTAACATTTTCATGCACATATTTAAGAAGAGGACTAAGCAGGGCACAATTCACAACACGATAGGGTTCTGGTTCTTTCGATAAGACCTCTCGTGAGTAACTGAACGACATTAAAGGAAACAGCAGCTTTGCCATGTTGCTGTACCCCACTCACCTCTAAAAACTGGGGGTGCTTCTTTAACTTGTGATCAAAAAGCAGATAGTAGCCGAGAGTGGCAAACAGAAAATATATCACAATTGCCCCCAGGTTTGTTATAACAAAGAGACTGATAATCTGCCGGAAAGCATTGTCTTCTGGACAGGTTGCTGGATAAACATAAGGTGTCAAAATATAACTATCTGCATAATCCAGGATAAGATCCATTGCTGCACCTGCAGGAGTGCCAGGAAGGAAAGAGTGTTATGTCAAACACAGAGAAATACAAAAGGTTATCTTGCAATAATCTAACCCAGAAGTGGGCAATTAATTTTCCAAAGGGGCCACATGAAGAAGTTTACCTGTATAAATAATCTGAAGAATGCACTTCTCCTTATTACCAGCGTTCAGAAAGGGACATCAATCACTTGTTTTCAGAGCCTCCTCAGTTCCGAATCACTTCGGGGATGGTCCAAACCACTAAAAGTAAAGTGCATCAGGAAATTCCAGGAATGGCAAGTTTTGACTGTAGTTTTCCAGTCTCATTTGTACAGTTGAGAAGAAAGATTTATTGCAAAGAACTGAGCAGTGTAAAGTGTGTGAGAGAAACAGAGTCACCTATTAGTAGATCTTTACCCCGTTTCTCCCTGCTTTAAGGATGGAAGAGAGAAAAGAGACCTTCCTGTCAACAACACAACAAAGTCACCACTAATCATGCCAATAGCCGTCTCTTTCAAATCAATGGAAAATCATCCTACAGCAGAAAAGAAATCTGTAGCACTTCTTTCTGCTTGCTGGTCATGGTTGTTCCATGGTTGTTGTTTTTTTTCAAGAGGCAACTGGACTTTCTGGTTTTTCTTTGAAGACATTTCAATTCTCATCCAAGAAGCTCCACCATCCAATCAGAGCTGAAGAAACTTCTTGGATGAGAAGCGAAATGTCAAAGAAAAACCAGAATGTCCTGTTGCCTCTTGGGGAAAAAAAAAGCACCTTTGAGACATCTTAAACAGTAATTAATTTAATTTAGAATAGAATAGAGTAGAGTAGAGTAGAGTAGAGTAGAGTAGAGTAGAGTAGAGTAGAGTAGAGTAGAGTAGAGTAGAATAGAATAGAATAGAATAGAATAGAATAGAATAGTATTCAATAGAATGTAGAATAAGAATAGAATAAAATGCAGATTAAGAATAGAATAGAAAAGAAAAGAAAATAGAATAGAATAGAATAGAATTTTTTTTATTGACCAAGTGTGATTGGACACACAAGGAATTTGTCTTGGTGCCTATGCTCTCAGTGTATATATAAAAAAAGATACATTTATCAAGAATCATAAGGTACAACACTTAATGACAGTCATAGGGTACAAATAAGCAATCAGGAAACAATATCAATATAGATTGTAAGGATACAAGCAACAAAATTACAGTCAAAAGTGGAAGGAGATGGGTGGTGGGAACAATGAGAAAATTAATAGTTGTGCAAGACTTAGCAAATAGTTTGACAGTGTTGAGGGAATTATTTGTTTAGCAGAATGATGGCAGCCAAGATGACCAAAGGCCTGGAGACTAAAACATATGAAGAACGACTGCAGGACTGATTGAACACACAAGGAATTTGTCTTGGTGCATACGCTCTCGGTGTACATAAAAGAAAAGATATGCATAATGGCATGCATGCCTTCTTAATCAGGACATTGATGAAACCTCTGAGTACAAGATTGGGCTTCCTGGATCTAAATGGACCAAGTTTGTTTAAAAGTGAGATTCTGGGTCCCCCAACTCTTCATCTCATCAACCTCTTCAGGACGTTTCTGTGGTTCATTTATCAATCCTTAGAAGGAAGAGGAGGGTACCTTTAAAGGTCTCCAAAACTAGCCTCCAAAAGTTGTGGGTCCTCCAATACTGGAGGTTTTTAAGAAGAGACTGGAAAACCATATGTCTGAAATGGCATCAGGGTTTCCTGTCTGAGGAGGGGGTTGGACTAGAAGACCTCTGTGGTCCCTCCCAACTCTGTTATCCTTCCTCCCTTCCTTCCTTCCTTCCTTCCTCATACTCTATTCATCCTTCCTTCCTACCCCCCCTCCCTCCTCCATCATTGGAGGTCTTTAAGAAAAGATTGGACAACCATTTGTCTGAAATGGCATTGTATTTCCTGCCTGAGCAGGTCCCTCCCAACTCTGTTATCCATCCATCCATCCTTCCTTCCTTCCTCCCCCCCTCCCCCCCCCCCCCCCCCCTCTCCCCTCCCTCCCTCCTCCATCACTGGAGACTTTCCAGAAAAGATTGGACAACTATTTGTCTGAAATGGCATCGGGTTTCCTGCCTGAACAAGGGGTTGGACTATAAGACCTCTGAGGTCCCTCCCAACTCTTCCTCCCTTCCTTCCTTCCTTCCTTCCTTTCCTCTCCCTCCCTCCTCCATCACTGGAGACTTTCCAGAAAAGACTGGTCCTGTCCACCCTCTTGTCATTCTGTTCCAGAAGCTGGCTTCGGGTTTCAAAGAAGAGACAAGAAGCTGAAGTATGAAAACACAGCGCCAAGAAGGGTCTTAAAGGCCCTTTAGGACCTCGTTAAAGAGAGAAAGGCTTTAAAAAACACAGAGCTATTATTATTATTATTATTATTATTATTATTATTATTATTATTTAATCTTTGGTGAGATTCACAGCCTTTGAGGCTGGTTAATAGTTCAGCAGCTCGAGTCCTAACCAAGGACCTAGGAACTGTTAAGGTACTATTATTATTATTATTATTATTATTGGTTAATCTTTAGTGAGATTCACAGCCTTTTAGGCTGGTTAATAGCTCAGCAGCTCGAGTCCTAACCAAGGACCTAGGAACTGTTAAGGTATCGTCGGAGGATGTAAGCTGTTCCGAGTAAGGTGGTTTTTTGTAGAGTCAAAATGTTCAAGTCCGGTAAATTTAGAATTTCTAAATAGCGGGGTAGCCCTTTGGGTATTGCTCCGAGGGCTCCAATTACAATCGGGACAACACACGATTTCTTTTTCCACAGTCGCTCAACTTCAATTTGTAAGTCCCGGTACTTTGTGATTTTTTCTTGCTGCTTATCTTCAATTCGTGCATCACCAGGTATTGCAATGTTCATGAACCATTATTATTATTATTATTATTATTATTATTATTTATTATTAATCTTGGTGAGATTCACAGCCTTTGAGGCTGGTTAATAGTTCAGCAGCTCGAGTCCTAACCAAGGACCTAGGAACTGTTAAGGTACTATTATTATTATTATTATTATTATTGGTTAATCTTTAGTGAGATTCACAGCCTTTGAGGCTGGTTAATAGCTCAGCAGCTCGAGTCCTAACCAAGGACCTAGGAACTGTTAAGGTATCGTCGGAGGATGTAAGCTGTTCCGAGTAAGGCGGTTTTTTGTAGAGTCAAAATGTTCAAGTCCAGCAAATTTAGAATTTCTAAATAGCGGGGTAGCCCTTTGGGTATTGCTCCAAGGGCTACAATTACAATCGGGACAACACACGATTTCTTTTTCCCCACAGTCGCTCAACTTCAATTTGTAAGTCCCGGTACTTTGTGATTTTTTCTTACTGCTTATCTTCAATCCGTGCATCACCAGGTATTGCAATTATTATTATTATCATCATCATCATCATCATCATCATCATCATCATCATCATCATCATCTTGTTTGTCGCTGCGAGTTCTTCAAGCCAGCTTGGGAAAAACGTAGCAACGAAGCAAAATGAAGCGACTTTTTCTAACCTTCTCCCCTTCAACCACCTTTCCCTCAGCCGGGGTGCTGGAGGTTATAGGGAGACCCCATTTCCCAGCAGCCTCAGCCATCGCCGCCCAGGCTGGGGGATTCTGGGAAATGAAGTCCGGGCACCTGAAGGGCTCAAGGTAAGAAAGATGGGCGGCCACAGCCCATCATCACACACACACACACGCACACCACCCGGGACGCTCCTCCGCGCTTCTCCCCACCTGGATCCCGCCGCTCCGCCACCATCCTCCGCAGGTAACCAGGAATACCGACCGCGCTCCGTGTTCGGTCCTTGAAAAACTGGTCTCTGGCCCTTGCCCCCTAGTGAAAACGGGGAAGGTCCCTGGCGCCAATCATCGGGCGGGAGAGGCGGAGTTTCGGCGGCCGAAGACGCAGGGATTGGCTCCGCTCCTCACGCGCCACCTGCCGGTCGAGGGTCGCGCGACGGCCGGCTTGGAGGGCCGGCCGCGGATTGGACGGCGCGACCATCGGCGTGAAGGGAGCCTATCAGGAATGCGGGGGCGGTTTCAGAAGGGAGGGGCGGGGGCACGGAGTGACGGGCGTCGTCGTGGTTTGTTAATTTACCACAGCGGCGACGGGGTGAATTTATTTACCTCGGAAAAGAGCCGGTGAACTTTATTTACCTCAGAAAACAGCGGGAGGGTTAGGCCGCCTGTCCCCAGGCTGGTCCCGGTGGGATTGGGATAGGTATCCCCTCCCCCCCCCCCCCCTGAACTGGTTCCTCCAGTCAGTCGGGTTGGGATGCTCTCTGAGGCAAAAGGGGAGGAGAGGGGAGTCGTCTTGGGCTCCTGGAGGTGACAGGAAAACGAAGAGAAAGAAGGGAGGCCTCTCCATTGCCTCCAGCGCCTCCAATATCTTTGCGTTTTTGGTGATAACAAAGTTCTTAAGTTTCACCTTCATTGGGTTGGCACTCGTTTTGGTATTGATAGGACTTGGCAACATCTTCCCTGATCATCATCTTTTAACGACCACATAATCCCTTGCGGGGTGGAGTCTGGGCAACTGACTGGAGCTAGCAGAGTGTTTTAATGGCCGGATGCCCTTCCTGTCGCCAATGTGGAGTTTTTGTTTGTTGATCCCTTTTGGAAACCCACGAAAAAGCAACCCAATTTTTTTTTTCTGGAAAGCATCTAATAAGCATCCTTTGCTTATTAAACCCCAATCAACAAGCTTTCCAAATCTTTACAGCAGAGAATATTTTAAAAAAAAATTTGACCGGCATGTCAAGAAAAAATATGCCAAGCTATACTACAGGCATTTCCCCCAAGTCCCAAATATAAGGAAACTTCATGAAACAAAACTGCCAAGAAACGATCTTGTTCCCCATGTTTAATTATATTAAAATTACTCCAGCAAACATCTAGATGAAAGAAGCTAAATTCAAAGAGTAAATATTTGTTCATACAAAAAAAAATAAACCCACAAGAATGGCTATGATATAATTGTAACATTTCAGGGCACATCAAAGTTTTTCTCCATCTGTTGATTTTTTTTAGTCTTCTGAAGGGAATGCTGGTTATCAACTGTTGGATGGGCAGAATTAATTAAAATCTGAATAAAAGAAACAGCTCTAGGGCGATTTAAACTCAGCAATGAATGGCTTAAGAAGCAAACAGGATATCAAATCCAGGACACCCAAGAGCTCTGTTACTTTCGCTCCCCATCCCAAGCTAAGAAAATAGCCAAGCTGCCCAAATATTTCCTGCAAAATTTAATAATTCAGATTATACAGAGATTTCTGTAAATATGAAGACAAATGTCTCAGAAGAGGAAGACATACAATCAACTATTGGATATTCAACTTTCAGATCTCCTGATAGTTTAGAAGAATGTGATGCCCTGTTAACATTTTTACAACTTCGTTAATACCATTTAAAGAGGCCAATGATGTCAGTGCTGTAACAGACAAAAATCTGTCATTTCAAATGGTGTTGGACAGTCACATGGATTGCAGGTTCAGAGTTGTATGTGTTTATAGGGACCTAGGAGGTTATAGCAAATTCCAGTACTTTGATAAACTATGTGGCTGGGCTGGACTGAGAAAGATTACACCATAAGAACAACTGGCTGACAAGGAGCAGAAACAGCCTGGCTTGAGCCTCAGTTGAAGAGCTGGTTGCTGCAAAGAAAAGTAGAAGAGACAATGAATATTCAAGCTGCATGTTTTAAAAATAATATAAACTTCAGTCAGAAATATGCTGCTTCTGTCGTCTATATATAAACACCTAAGGAAATTTCTATCAGTCCTTGAAATAGATGTTGACAGAGACTTTAGCCTGGCAAATAACAAATATCTAGGAAAACATTGACCTAGGGTTCATTCACCTCGACAGCTCTTGCCATCTTTTTGCAAGGTTCCAGTTACACAGCTGCAGAGTGGCCCATCCACCTGGCTTGTGCATATCTGTTCACAGCCTCCATTGTCTTCACACCAGTCTAGGTCTAAAAGGCACAAGTCAAAGTAAAAAAAAATAAAGAAACCTGTTTAATCATGCATCCATACAGTAAAATGGATCCAGATTTCTGAATGAAAACTTGCTGAAACATCACACTTACGTTTTCTTCTGATTGGTCCCACAGAAATTATTTGCTCATTGAGATCTTTGGAATAATCATTGGCCCTCCGGGTATTCTGTGGACAATTCTGATCAAGCCAAAAAGAAAGAAAGAAATGCTTCTTTGGTGCACAACTTACTTCTGTTGCCTTGAATGCATATATTGTACTTTGCATGATCTGTCAATAGCAATTTTTAAGAATAGGCAGAACCAGGGACCGTAGAGCCAAAGGCTTAAAGTATCCATTTTCCCCCCATCTTAAAATGCACCAGAGTGCAAACATTTAACCGAACCTGAGCTACAAAGCAGAAGTTGCCGGTCCCTATCATTAAAGTTGTAGCTGAAGTACATGCATTTTAGATTATACTGTCCTTCAAAAATCAACTTTTTGATTAACTCTGAGACAGATTTCCTTTTTTTTTTTTTTTTGAGGACTGCCTTAAATAGCATATTGATGTGAACTGCACCTGAGATTTGCCCCACTTACTATTTTACATGAGTATCTTTCCGAATCACAAAGTGAGACTGCACAGTGCAAATGAACCTCATCATAATCTCCAATGAATTTGAAAACAGTAACATGAAAACGGCAGGTGAGGGAGACCCCATTCTCCTCAATTCCAATAGTATTATCCTTGATATTCTGACAACTGCAAGAAAGAGGAATGACTGATTACTGCCAGCAAAATACCCTAGAACTGACTAGCTTTTCTTCTGGAATTTCGAACACTGGGCACTGAAAAAGCATAGCTCACCCTTCTTCGATGATGAAATATCTGAGCTTGTCATTGCTGTCTCG